AGTCCAGGTCCCCGTCTCCCGCGAAGAAGTCGCCCAAGTCCAGGTCCCCGTCTCCCGCGAAGAAGTCGCCCAAGTCCAGGTCCCCGTCTCCCGCGGAGAAGTCGCCCAAGTCGCCCAAGTCCAGGTCCCCGTCTCCTGCAAAGTCGCCCAAGTCCAGGTCCCCGTCTCCCGCGGAGAAGTCGCCCAAGTCCAGGTCCCCGTCTCCCGCGAAGAAGTCGCCCAAGTCACCCAAGTCCAGGTCCCCGTCTCCCGCGAAGAAGTCGCCCAAGTCACCCAAGTCCAGGTCCCCGTCCCCGTCTCCCAAAGCAGCTTCTCCTGCCAATAAATCACCCAAATCTAGATCTGCTTCTCCTAAAGCAACCGCGAATAAATCGCCAAAATCCAAGAGCCCATCTCCTGCAAGAGGAAGATCTCCTTCTAAAGTGGAAACTCTTAAAACCAATGAACAGCAGAAAACTCAACGCAGGGCTTCAGCCCCAGGGCAGATTCCCCACGAGCAAGTTCCTGCTGGAAAAAGAAGGGCAACTGTGGGTTTGCCTGGTACTTCTCTGGAAAGTGTCCCTACTATCGTCCTTACACCAGCTAAAACTCCCACTAATTCAGGAGTTCAGACCCCCACAGTCAAGGGGCGATTTTCTGTGTCACAAATTAGTACACCCTCTCCAATAGCTGAAGCCGACAAGGTCACTGACCAGGTTCTTTTGCCCACCGTCACCCCTAAAACACACAAGGGAAGGAAAAGCACCTCGCAGAAGACTCCAGGTGCTGCGAAGAGTGCAGTAAAGATGCACAGAAGAAGTGGCATTTCAAGAGCATCTATAAAAGGTATGATAAGTGCTGAAATGTTTGATAGCTAGTTTCAACTCTTGGTTTTTGTTCCCAGCACTAGAAATCTGTCAGTTCCAGTCAGAATGAAGGTCATTAGTGGGAGTAGCTGAAAGCTACTTGTTTTACTCATTTTCTTTTTATCATCTTTAAAAATGTAAATTTAATTTAATCTTTCAAAGCTGTTTATAATTAATTAATGCAGTTGTTGTAGAAAAAGAAATCTGATGATCACGATGAGAATGAGAAGATTAATTTTGTGTGTTTTCTTTCTTTCTTTTTTCTCTCATGTCCATCCAGTCTCCAATCCTTGGGCGCACATTGTGAAATTTGGTCAACCTAAGGCTCAAGTTGTTGCTCCACTTAAAAAAACCATTGGCCAAAAGCCTAAGAAGAAAGCAGTACCCAAACCACAGGTACAGAAACATATTGTACCAAGTACAGTTATGTTTTAAGTAGAATCTTTTTATTTCTTATGTTATGTGTCGAGATTGGGTAGTATTAAACTTTTAGGGCACATCATTAATGCATTAATTAGTGTTTGCAGATTAATTTAACAATTATGCGTCTGTTGTTCTGAATCTTTATAATGATCTTTATCAAATCTACTTGTCTTTCCAAAACACCAATCAGACACCTGCCAGAAATCTGAAGGGCTACGTGAGCACTGGACATGCAGACTCGCCCGCCACCATTGTTGTTGGTAGAGCACACAGACAGACTGTTGTGCAGCCAACTGGTGCTGCACCAAGAGTGGTCACCAATGTTGCACTCTTCAAAAAGAACATGAAAATGGATGAAGACTTGACTGGTAAGCACCTCTCCTTCATCCGCAGCAGGTGGTGAAACTTGTGGCCAATTTCAGTTTTGTGCCTTCTTACATTGTGCTGTTTGATTTCAGGTATTTCTGAAATGTTTAAAACTCCTGTAAACGAAAGGAAGCGGAAGTCTTTAATCGATGATAACAGCGTCACAAAGACACCAGCAGGAGGTCAGAGCGCATCTGTGATGGAGCCATCAGTGCTGAGCACACCAGAGGAACCAGGTAAGCTGTGTATTTGTGGTGTTTTGATTGGTAGTGAATCTTGAGTTCTGCATAGTCCAAATAAGCTGGCTGGGACATTAAATTGTTATAAAGGAAAACAAAAATATGACTTATTTACAGGTGAGATGATAGTATCTCCGCTGAGTGTTACATCTGCAGTAAAAGGCAGAAGATACAACAATGAGGCAGTCCAACGCCTCCTTGATGAAGATCAAGACGCCACCTTCATCGGGCAGATTCAGTCAGAGTCAAGTGAACGGCAGAATGCAGATTTGCAGGCGTCCACTGTAACAACTCCCAAACTGAGGCCAGAATTACCAGATTCTCTGACTGGAGTTAAGAGGATCATGAAGACGCCAAAACAGAAGGCTGAGCCTGTTGAAGATTTGAGAGGGAAGCTGTTGAAAACTCCAAAACAGAAGCCTGAAAAACAGGAGTGCCTCACTGGAGTCAAGAGGATCATGAAGACTCCGAGACAGAAAGCCGAACCTTTAGAGGACATCAGAGGGAATCTTCTGAAGACTCCCAAACAGAAGCCTGAACAGCAAGAGTGCTTCACTGGGGTTAAGAGAATATTTAGAACTCCAAAGGAGAAGGCTGAACCGCTTGAAGACCTTCAAGGGAAGATTCTGAAGACCCCCGAAGTCCCAGAAGCTGGTGATGCCAGTTTGGGTGGTGGTAAGGAGCTTCTGCAAACGCCAGCACAGTTGCAAGAATCTGACGCAAAAGGCATGAAAACTCCAAAAAGCTCTCCAGTGGTTCACCTCACTGGAGTCAAGAGAGTGATGAAGACACCTGTGGAGAAAGGTGCTCCTGTCGAAGATGTGGTTGGCGTGAAGAGGCTCATGAGAACTCCCAGACAGAAAGGCGAACCTGTTGAGGCGAATTTCGGGCTCAAGAGACTCATGAAGTCGCCAAGGCTGAGGGGTAATGCTCCAGTGGAGGACTTCGAGGGACTTCAAGAACTTATGGAGGAGCCACTGACTGAGCCCACAGTACAACCAGAGGCAAAGGAGGTAATGCATTCAGTATTCATACAAAATACATGCCCACCAAAAAGGGGCAAAACACTAAAAAGACTGTTTGGTTGATCATTTCACTCTAAAATTAAGTCTGAACATCTGTCTGTTACTGAGTTAACTCTTATCAATGCCATTGCCTCTAATCCCTGGTTTTAGAAAGGTGTTTGGTGTGCATGGTTTACAGTTTTCTAACAAGACCTCATTGTCCAAATTGGTTTTGTTCTATTTTTAGCAGGGCGAAGCTCAGATGTCTCTCGACAGCAGTGCAAACGTGGTAAAAGGTGGGTTAGGTTAACTAAAACTGTTAAATGTTTGTTCTTGGGAGCGTGGACTTGAAAAGGGTTTGATCGGTGTGACTTTCTTTTGTAATGTTGTCAAAACATATCAGCCTCCACACAGATTCAGCGTTAAACTGTTTCTTTCCCCCCTCTCTCTCTCTCCTTTTGGATGATGATAATAAAACATCAGATGCCATGGAAACGGTCTCTCAGGCAGATGCAGTACTTCTTGAGGAAGCTGAGGTGAAGACTGCTGTGAATGCAGATCCTGCCCATGAGAAGAAATCTGTACGAGGCAGAAGGGCAAAAACGGTGGAATCTAAAGCAGCTGAGGATAAACAGGAAGAGCCTGTAATCCCTGCTCCATCCAGAGGAAGAAGAGGAAAGAAAACTGAAGCTACAGCACCACCTGCTGTTAGACAGACAAGAGGCAGAAATGCAAAGACAGCTGTTGAGCTGTCAGCAGAAGAGAATCACCTTCCTTCTCCCAAAGCTGCTCCTAAGCCAAAAAGGGGTAGAAGTGCACAGCAGTCTTCTGATGAGCCTGAAGTTGCTGCTGAAGCTGAGCGTGTTCAGAGCCAGCCACTTGATGTTGAGGAGAAAGCAAATGAAAGTGCTGTGCCCAAGCGAGGAAGAAGAGCTAAGCAACCCAAAAAGTCACAGCAACGAAATGCAACTGAGGATGTTCCCCAAGATACACCAGGTAGAACACTCTAGATTATTTAGTGCCTTCTCTTAGGAAGTATAACTGATAACTGAACATGTTGCATTATGTTATTTCATTTTTATCATATGTATGTTTATAATTTATGTATAATTTTCTCCCCCTTGTTTTATCTTGCTCTTGTTTAAATTAGATGCAAATGTAGCCTGCAGTGACCAGCCTGAGGTGTTGCCAGGCGGAGCTGATGAAAACAAACCTGATGCCATGGAAACTGTTGTCCAAGCACGTCAAGCTGAAAGCTTACTTCACGTGCAGACACCAGCTTCAGTTCAGAAGAAATCTGTCCGAGGCAGAAGAGCAAAACAGGCCGAATCTGAAGAACTTGAAGATAAAAAAGAGGCAGCTGAAATTGCTGAAGATCCCATTGTGCCTACTCCAGCGAGAGGAGAAAGAAGAGGGAAGAAAATGGAAGCTGTAGCGCCACCTGCAGCTAGACACACAAAAAGAGGCAGAAATGCAAAGTCTCAGGAGAGCACCTCTGAGACCTCCGCTGATGCCAGTGCCCAAGCGTCTCTGATAAACACCAGTCTGTCTGCACTCCAGACAGAAGAAGCTGTTAAGCCAGTCAGAGGGAGGAGAACAAAACAAACACCTGTTAAGCCAGCTCAACCAGAGCCTGAAACGGTTGAAACAGCAAGTGGGGAACAGAGCCAAGTGGAAAACTCTGAGCCTCAGAAGACCACTCTTCCGACTGCTGGAAAACCACGAAGAGGGAGAAAGGCAAGACAGGATACCGCTGAACAGAATGAGGTGACAGAAGAGGTGGTCAAGCAGGCAGCAGTGGAGACGAATGAGCAGTCTCAGCCTCCAGCCAGAGTAAAGAGGGGCAGAAATGCCAAACAGGATGAAGAAAAGATGAATGAGCCTGCTAAAAAAATAAAACTAACAAGAAAGTCTGAGGAGGCCCAAACGGAATTAACAGAAGCCCAAACTGTTGAAATGGTCATTTCAGAAACAACAGAACCAGCCCAGATAAGCGAACAGGCCAGTGTGGCCACGAAACCCAGAAGAGGAGGGCGGAAAGCAAAACAAGACACAGAGAGTGTGGAATCCATTGAGGTCCAAGAGGTCCCTGTTCTCAGCACAGAAAATAAACCCAAACGAGGCAGGAGGGGAAAACCAGCTGCCGAAGAAACTAAAGCCACTGCCGAAAGTCCTGAACACAAGCCGAAGGCTGAGGAGGCGAAAACTGCTGAGCCACTTTCCTCGTCTATGAAAACTAGCAGGTCAAGGGGAGTGAGGGCTTCTGCTAAAGCCCTCACTTCACAAGCCATTCCAGCCAAGAGAGCCCGCAGAGGTACAACGGTTTCTCCTGAGGAGGTCAGCACAGAATCCACAGTTTTGGTTTCCGAGCCTGCTCCCACGTCAGTGGAACCAGCAAGAAAGGGAAGACGGGGAGCATTCAAGTCCACAACAGAAGAGCCTACGACGACTACTGATCAGAAGAATCCTGAAGCTGTTGAGAGCAACGCAAAGATGCCCAAAAGATGCGTTAAGTGGAAATCACACTTGGAAGTCTTTGAGATTCCAAAGGCGACACCTGTAAAAGCAGCGCGAGGTAAGAAGTCTAAAGCTGCAGACCAAGTCAACAGTGAAAGCAAAAATGTGTCAAATGATGCCAACAAAACTGAAGAGGAGGATCTCTCAGATAAAGCTGTTGACAGTAGACCTGTTAAGAGAGTCGGACGAGGGGCGAAGACTGCTGCCAAAGTGGAACCTGCAAACAACCCAGAGAAAAAGGTTGAAGCCAAAACGCAGCCTAAAACCCGCAGAGGAAGATCAGCAAACAAATAGATGTATTTGTACACATCAGTACCTTTTTAACGATAATCTATTTTTGTACTTGTGGCTTTTTTTTTCTCTCTCTCTTTTTTTTTTTTTTTTTTAAGATTGTAATGCTTTGTAGTCCATAGTTTTATAGTGAAAAAGCTTTGCCTGAGTTCAGCAGGGAATCTTTGTTTTTAATCATTTGGTGTCAAGCTGTATTATTCTTCACTGATTCTGCAAATACTTTATGGTTCAAAAAATTGGTTATTAAATTTTTTTCTACATTGGAAAATGTGTGGAAATTGTTTTTATTTTATTAAAAAATGTTTAAATCACAATTTTTGAATGCATCTACATATTGGGTTCAGCTGGTAAATAGATGATCAGGTTAGAAGTAAACAGTTTATAACTCAAATAGTTATTAGTGTAATAGAATTAGTGATAAAGAAAATAATATTATGTTTAGCCTGTTATCATAGTGGGCTTTGTGACAATGTTTTAATTAAATGTGTCCTGAGACCTCTGCTGTAACTACCTCAGAGGTTGTTATTTAAGCTCTATTCTGCAGTAGGTTTACAGTTTACCTTAAGTGAAAGGCTTAAAGGTTTCAAACTGAAATAAATTAGCTTAAAAATGATGCATTTTATAATTCTACTTTAGAGACCTCAAGTGAAATTGGAAAAATTTTAAAATATCTTTAAATTTAAAATTTTTAAATTATTTAAAAAAAATTTAAGTTAATGTTAGCGCTTCTCTATGGCCTCAATGCCACCCCTTTATAAATAAACTTCCATAGACTATTCCTGCTACAGTGAGTGCTCTAGTTCAAAAGCTAAGAGGAACTGTATGATTAAAAACATGGGAGCAACCCGGACGGAGTTTGGTGACGGACTGAAAGCAAACGCGGAGTCGACGCTGGAGGGAGATTTGAGGCGCGTGGAAGGTTGTTGGCCTCAAACTTGGCTAGCGACATTTGTGCTTCCTGCGTTTGTCGTTATAACTTATTCTTTACATCATGTCAGAGGACATTGACATAAAAACAACGCCGAGAGGGTTTCAGTGCACCCTGTGCAACGTCAATTTATCCAACTGTAAGTAACGGAAGCTAACAACCATATACGAGTCTGTTGAAGTGCTGTGAATGTAATAGTTTCTTTAATTTACAGATAACTAATAAAACTGCGGCTACAGTTTGAACGTTGCAGTCATTTCCGTCATAAGTTTAATGAGTGTTACCGCACTTTGCAAATTACACATACATTACTAAGTTATGTCTGCTTTATTTTCCGTAGCTTTAAAGTTTAACATTACTCAGAAAATTCGTAATTTTTTCTACAACACTGTGCAGAAGTCTTGATCCGAAGGATTATAGTTTCCTTCCAAGCAGCCAGACGTTCTTGCCATGTTGTAAAGTGTTGTTGCGCACTAGTTCTCCAGCCTCAAGGTTTTGTTTTGTTTTGTTTTTTTGACATGGACTGTTTTTCACTCATTTACAGTCCAGTCGTTTTACCTGACCATATTCAGAGTAATCTTTTGGTTATTATGCCGGTTAACGCATATATACCTTTGGCTCATTCAAAAAAACAAAAAAACAAACATCTTTAAATTGTATATTTGGGCATTTTGTTACTAGCAGCATGCTGCAAAAATATATATTTTGTTCACATTTCTTTAGTTGAGTCTATGAAAACTGCCAAAGATAACACAATTTAAAAGGCACAAAATAATAAACAAGATGATTCTTATTAACCAGCACAGTGTGTCCTTAAAAAAGGTCAGGCTTAAAAAAAACACCCACTTATCTGTAGCAGATGTTCAATGTCTCAAAGTTTAAAAAAAATAAAATAAAAATCCAGCAAACACTTGGCACAGGACTTGAGAGATGCATCTGCCCCGTTCCAGAGCCCGTACCTGAACTTTATTGAAGCATTATTTTTGTCCTGCAGCGGCAAGTTTGGATCAGCATCTGAAAGGGAAGAAGCATCAGACACTGAGTGGCGTGCGGTCCACTAGGAAGACCCAGGAAGACCACAGCGTGTTCGTTGGTGGCATCAATCCTGAGATCTCCCAAACTGACTTAGCGAAGTATTTTCAGCAGTTTGGGTCAGTCGCAGATGTCATCATTGACAAAGACAAGGTCAGACAACTATACGCAATCCAGATGTGCACAGTCTTAAAGCAACCCCAAATCACTGCATTTCTATTAAAGCATGACTTTATCCCTTTGCGCTCACAGGGTGTGTATGCCATCGTGCAATTCAGCGAGACAGACAGCATCCAAGCAGCTCTGTCCTGTATTGAGCATAAGCTGAAAGGCCTGAAGCTGCGCGTCAAACCTCGGGAAAAAAAGAATTTCAAGTTGATTCCCAAGAAGAAGAACGATCCCGAGAACCTCCAACAAGTTCTTGACCGCCTTAAACCCGACTTGTGTCAGTTGGTGTCTGTAAGCATCCTCTTTTAAACTTTGCCAAAATGTGTGTGTCTTTAAAAAATGACAAATACACTTGTTTGGTGCTTGTGGAGCAATGAAACTCTCGACTCTGCTAATAGACAAGTTTAGTGTAATCGAAAATATGCAGCTTTGAGAATAGACTAGACGAGCCAATAACATATATGTTTGTTAACAAAGGGACTACGGTGTTGCCCTTTGTTCCCCTCTAGGTGAACGCCCAGATGCAGCATGTTGTTGAGCAATTTCAGCTGGGAGAAAATGAAAAGAATGCCCGAAGCTTGCTGGTTCAACTCATGCAGGAGATTTTTGTAGAGTTTTTCCCAGGTGATCTTTGTAAATACCCGTACACAGGTCTTGCATGCATATTGGTGAGGGGAAAAGAGCAGAAGGAAATGTTTTTCTAACTTTTGTGGCCATATGTTGGGTGGTTTGCAGACAGCCAGATTCTCCCATTTGGTTCATCTGTCAACACGTTTGGCATCCATTCATGTGACCTGGACCTGTTCTTAGACCTAGAACACACCAAGGTGTTCCAGGCTCATGCCAAGTCAACCACAGAACAGGTTCGATGCGCACATTTGGTCACATAATATCACACATGTAGCTCGATAAAGAAGACGCCTTTGGTGAGATTCCCTCTTTCTTCAGCCAGGGGAAGGCGTGTCAGACGATGGGCGGTCTGAGGACTCTATACTGTCTGATCTCGACCTGTCCACAGCCGCTCCAGCTGAGGTTCTCGACCTCGTGGCGATGATCCTGAAACGCTGCGTCCCCAGCGTGCATAAAGTCCACGTGGTCAGCAGCGCTCGTCTCCCCGTTGTCAAATTCCATCACCGTGAGCTTAACCTGCAGGGGGACATCACCATTAATAACAGGTTGGTGAGCGAATGCAATATTGTGCAGCATCTGCTGTCTTCAGCTCTGTTTTTATTTTATCTGTGAGCGTAACAGCTGTTTTTCCTCACTAGACTAGCAGTAAGAAACACCCGCTTCCTCCAGCTGTGCTCAGGGATTGATGAAAGGCTGAGGCCTCTTGTGTACACGATCCGGTACTGGGCCAAGCAGAAGCAGCTTGCCGGTAAGACGCAGCAACTTAAAACAAGATCATTGAAACGGATGCCCGTGTTTCAGTTTCCTCTGTATTTTAGGTGGTTATTTCATTTTCTGGTCAACAGATGTCAGTAGAACTTCACTGCCTCTTAGATCACTGATGCGAGAAGAGTGATTTTACAATTTTATTACCTTGTTATGATGAAATAAGACGACACAAACAGCTTTTTTTCTTGTATTGCCAGTGTCGACTCATATTAAAATCTTAATGAATGTTGCTCACTGACACTACTAATTGCCTTTCTGGTGATTACCTTTACTCTTGAGCCATGGTTCTTCTATTCCAGTTGTCACAGCAGCACAACAGTTATTCGGGTTTATTAGTGAACTGTAATGATGTTATGGCTGCGTGAGTCACCGTCAGTCCGAGTGCGTAAACAAACGGGTGACAAAACCCCCCAAAAAAACTTGTGGCTGTGTTCTGATTCGTTTCTTCTTCTTAGTAATGCTGTCACATTGTGGTGTGTAGGTAATCCCAGTGGTGCCGGTCCCCTTCTGAACAACTACGCTCTCACCCTGCTGATCATCTTCTTCTTGCAAAACTGTGAGCCTGCTGTCCTCCCTACAGTGGATCAGCTCAAAGACTTGGCCTGTAAGTGCTGCATCGCTTCTACACTTCACACAAGGACATTTTTGTATACTTAACCAACTAAATACAGTACTGTGCAAAAGTTTTGAGCCACCCCTCATTTCTTTATATTTTGCTTCCAAGGAGCCAGACTTGCTAATCATTTTTAAAGTGGTTTTGAGCAATAGTTCTCTGGGCTTTCTTAAGGTCTTTCAAAGCTCTTCCTTGGGCATTGGCTGCTTTTTTAAATCCTCTTCAATCCAGTTGTTGTGCCTGACAAATATCAGAGGAATGTTTCTTTGTTTATTAAGTCACTTAGAACTGAGCTGTGAGTCATCCAAGGATAAAAAAGCCACCTAATTCAAAGCAAGAACCTGTGTTGTGTCTACACATAACAAGCAACTAAGCAATTTTTAAATTTAGGCACTTTGTTACTAGCAGCCTGTCACAAAAACACATAATCTGTTCTCTTTTTATTTAGTTGAATCTATGAAAAATGCCAAAGATAACACTGTTTAATAGGAACAAAAGTGCACAGAATATTAATTTTAAAGCCTGGTTTATCTCTGCACAGTGTTTGCTTAGAAAAGGAGCAGACTGGACAAGGGGGGGGGGGCAAAAGAAGAAGTGGAAGGCCTAAAAAACTATCTATAGCGGATGAACAGTATCTGAAGTTGTTAAGAAAAAATCCAGCAAAGTTCTGACACAGGATGTGAGAGATGCACCTGACCAGTTAATCTGCCTACTGTTCACTGAAGCCTCATGAGAAATGGTCTCAGTAGAAGGGTGGCTGTCAAGAAGCCATTATTAAGGAGGAGGCACAGGGAGAAAGAACTGGGCTGAAAACCAGTGGCAATGGGTCTGATGGAGTGATCAATCCAAATGAAAAATTTTGGTTAATATCATCATTAATATGCACGGAGGTTGGTAGAGGTAGAACAGTGAGTATTTAGTGATCGTCAGAGGTGGCCAGTTAATTTACCCAAGGGTCCACATGAGGTGCTTTTGTGGGTGCACCAATAAGCTGAACTCAGTTCTGCTCAGTGTTAATTTTATGTGATTTTCTGGGAAATCACAAAGCTGGTCCTGACGGCTGCATACCTAGATTTGTACAGCTCAGTGAAAAAGGCTTTGTTT